ATTTTTAATGCATTTGAAAATTTGTATTTGCTCTTAATATGAAGTGACACATGTAATAATAATGTTGCTTGGTTATGTTTTTCAGATTTCAAAGGCCACTGTGTCAGAAAGGCTGTCAGATTCCCCTTGTGCTCTAGTAGCAGGCATGTTTGGTTGGACTGGCAATATGGAAAGGCTAGCAATATCCAATGCTCACCAGAAATCTGATGACCCACAGAGAAGTTACTATCTGAACCAGAAGAAAACTCTGGAGATTAACCCAAGACATCCTCTCATTAAGGAGCTTCTCAGAAGGGTGGAGGATGATCCAAGTGATTCTGCTGCAAAGGATATAGCCCTTATGATGTTTCGAACAGGTATGGATTATTTATAATTGTAATTTCGTTTTTGGAAACCTCTTTTATAAACACCATTGTCTTCAACTGTGAATTGGTCAATTGTTAATGACGTAGAACTTCTCCTATCATCTCTGAATTCCAGATTGAAAATCTGTGGTTTTTCAGCAGTGGGTATAGTGATTTACATGTGGAACTATACAAACAAACAGAGCCATTTGCTTATATCTTTAAACAGCAGCAGCTCATAAGTGGTTTTAGTTTATTATATTGTGGAGCAGAATACTTAAATTACCTTTCAATGTAGAAGAAATTCCTTTGAATTTAAATAGAGGTATCCTTTCATGTGGTAGGCAACAAAAATTGCCTCTGGTTAGAAAATTCATAATTTCCTGACCACACAGACTGATTGTAACTATTGTGACAGGATAATTTTCCTTTGGGTACACTATTCAGTACAGTAGGTGTGTCTGATATATTCTCTTGTGGTTCTCATTGGTAGTGGTAGCAGTAAACAGAGAAGCCTGAGTGTTGTCATATTTCTATCTTCATGTCATCTTACCAATGAGAGTAATGCATTTATCTATTAACTACACTCCGTAGATTGAAATAAATGTTGTAATCCGTGAACTTTGAAAAGAATTTGGAATCTGAGAGAGAATTTTATATAACCAAAAAGAAACAAAGAAACTTCGTGGCTTGAGTCCGCAAGCGAATTATACCGACCGAGTGACTGCCACTTGTTGGCGAAGTTCGTGCCAACTATAGCTGATAGAGGGTGCCATGTCGTCAATGCAGTGAATCCCCATGGCTGTTAATTTTGGTTTTATAGACCGGAGCCACTATTTCTTTGAAATAGCTCCTCAGTTATCCTCGTGAGGATCAGTGGACCCCATTCCAGACCCACTAGTTCTCAAAAAATCTGGTAGCACTAGGAATCGAACCCAGACTTCTGGATTTGTAGCCAGAACTCTGACCACTAGACCACAGAGGCTGTCAATTCTATCTAACCAGTGTGGAATAATTCAAGCTTTTGAATCTTCTGTAGTTAAGAAGGTGAGAAATGGTACCAGATGTTACTTGTATATTGGCTTGTTCTTAATGCAAGAAAAATTAAATGTGGAGTTAGGATGTGTAGCCACACAGATCTGTGTTGCGTTCTGATGATAAGGAAGATAGATGGGGAGCGGCCGTTACGGTGTTCTGTAGCTGAACTAAATATGTGCCATATGTTCATATATTTATATTATATTTCCAGCTACTTTACGTTCAGGCTTTATGCTAAGGGATACAGCAGATTTTGCAGAGAGTGTTGAACTCATGATGAAGAAAACTTTGGGCATTCCATTGGAAGAGCAGGTAAGCCAAAATACATGTATTATTTGTAAGAGTTATACCGCAAAATTGGAATTTTTCATTTTAATGGTACAGTCAACTCTCGATTATCCAGGGGCGGATTAACCGGTTTGCGGCTTAATCAGGGCTACTGAGCCTTTTTTGAGGCTTATATGTTGTTTAATATTCATTCACTTTTG